TGAGGACCTCTACTAGGCCCTACTTCTCAAGGTTCCACCCAAGAGCACCACCCTGAGGACCAAAGCTCAGCACACACAACTCTCAGGGACACTGTGCTCGAACTTTAGATCCACTGTTGGGAAGTTTGGGGAATCAGAGGGATGACCTTGTTCTTAAACATGGACCACATCTCTCCAGCATGCTGGAGCGAAGCTACGGTGTGCTGGCATCTTAGTGGGTGTGGTTATGCCCTGCTGGATGGGAGACGTGGGAAGTGGGGTGGACAGGGGGAGCAGGAGGCAGGAGGGCAACCCCCCCGGGGGCCACTGATGCAAATGGTCTGGATGGCTACCTGCATCTGTCCTAAGATCCTGGGGCAAGCTGAGCGGAAAATACAGTTCTCCCATCCCCCTCACTCCGTCCCCATTCTCCATTCTCTAGACCTGCACTGGAAGCGTCTACAGACCTCTGAATTCCAGATTAGGAAGGGAGAGCCTTGCCCTACAGGCCGGGCATCGTTTGCTTTCCAATGCCTTGGGCGTGCACAGCAGCAATGAGCACGCTGTTCCCCTCTCCACTAGAGGGCCGTGATGGCGGCCATGGGTGAAGTGGGCAGGAGATAAATTCCATGACGGCAGGATTTGTGAAACAAATTTCAAAACATCTCATAAACACCACAGCCATGCTGTTCTCTGACCCTTTTACCCATCTTGGTCCCTTTGGCAGCTTTTCTTTTAGAGAAATAAGAAAAATAAATCAGAGAATTGGGTGGGGGGATTATTTGCATTAATATCCAACTTGTGGCATAACTTGTGTACAGGGCTAACTCATGGCAACCAAGGAAGCAAAACGACAACCTGATATTTAAAAACACACGATTGGTGCTGGGAGTGTAGCTCAGGGGTAGAATGTTTCCCTAGCATGATGCAAACCTGCCTGTGTTTGATTCCCAATGTCATGCACACCCTCCCATGTAAGGAAAAATTAGCAACTCCCATCAATGAAAAGCTAGTGATGGCTACTGGGCACATGTGAAACTTGTCTCCGACAGCAGGTGGCGGTGAAGAGCTGCCCTGAGTTGAGAATCAGAACTTCCCCGCTCACTCCGCTACCCTCAACAGTGACCACATTGAATAAAATGTCCAGCAGACCCTGACGGCTGGCTTAAAACTCTAGGGGAAGCTGTGGAGTACCTGGGTCAGTCATTGTAGCCCAGGGAAACTCAGACATAAATACAACTGCTCCCCAGGAATGGAGAGAAGCGGCTAGGTGGGGAGCGAAGTGAGGATCAAAAGTCAAGTGAAAAGGCCCTGCTTGCCCTTGTTCTGCATCCCAATCTGGCCCAGGGAGGACAGCTAGGACAAGCAGGCTTATTATTAAGTCCTGGATCCCTGATGTCCCAGGGAAAGCAGTAGGTCTCTCCAGACAGAATAATGCACCAATAAATCCCCTAGCCAGCAGGGCTGGGCAGAGTGACCCACTGTGACCAGGGCTCCATCGGGTTATTTTTCCATCTTGCAGTTCTCTCTGGAACACCTGCCATTAGAAGACTTTGGAGCTACTTTAAGTTCCTCGGTTCTTACTTCCTGGAAGACACTTCCTGGAGAGTTTCCCCTCTAGATAACCAAAGGAACACGGTATCTTCAAAGTAGAGAAGAGTTTCATTTGTTTTTTTCTTTCTTTTTTTTTTTTTTTTTTGGTTTTTTTTGAGATAGGGTTTCTCTGTGGCTTTGGAGCCTGTCCTGGAACTAGCTCTGTAGACCAGGCTGGTCTCGAACTCACAGAGATCCGCCTGCCTCTGCCTCCTGAGTGCTGGGATTAAAGGTGTGCGCCACCACCGCCCTGCCATGAGTTTCATTTGTAAAGAGAAAGAGAGATTATTCTGTCGCAGGGGAAACAACCTGTGGCTCGTTGATTCTTAACAAGCAGGCAGATTCTTGTAATGCTCGATTACATACTTGGCCCTAGAATCCCCCGGGTTGTTGACAGAGATCTTGAAGGTCCTATGGTGGGGTAACTAGGATGGCAGAATAAGTCCTGGAGATAAACTGTGGCCTATATGGAGCCTGGTGAGCATAAATGACCTGCAATAGTTAGAAATTCCTATCTCAGGTTGGTAAAATGTGTCGGACATTGCAAGCCATGCATACAGCAGCCCTCAACACTTTGGGAGAATGTGTGGGCATATAACAAGTGGAGACTTCTGTATGTAGTGGGTCCTCAGATGGTTTCATCAATAGTGTGAGGTCAAGGGAGAGGACAGTGAAGGCTGAGACGAGCTACAGGGAGTAAGGTCCTTGGTCTGCAAGGGCGAAGATTTCAAGCCCCAGAAGCCACAATTAAAACCTCACCAGGCCAGAGAGATAGCTCAATTCCAGACGACTCACGCAGATTCAAGTCCCAGCAACCACACAGCAGTTCATGATCACCTGTAACACCAGTCATAGGGGACCCTCCAGGGCAGTGCATACAGGTGGCAGACAAATTCACGTGCACATAAAATAAAAAAATAATAAAGCCCTGGTGGTGCGGGAGAATTGTCTGTATTCTATCAATCATGTTTTAAATAAACGCTGATTGGCCAGGCAGGAAGTATAGGTGGGAAAACCAGACAGAAAATGATACAATGAGAAACAGGAAAATTCTAGAAAGGAGAAAGTTGATTCCCCCCAGTCCTGTGCAGACCACCGAGGAAACAGGATGTGACCTGCCAGCTAAAAAAGGTACCCAGCCATATGGCAAAAATAGATCAGAATAACGAGTTAATATAAGTCATAAAAACTAATAAGAAGCCTGAGCTGATGGGTCAATCAGTTTTATAATCTTATGGAGTCCTCTGTGTGATTTTCTTTGGGGCTTGCCGGCTATGGGGTACTGGGTAGGACAGAAACCCCAACAAGCAAGCCAGGCCCCATTCGTGTTACAAATGGTGTCCAAACCCCTGGTATAATGGTGCTTGAGGAGACAGGCTGATCCAGGGCCCACTGGTCACCCAGCCTGTCCCATTTCATGAACACCATGAGACCATACCTCGAAAACACAAGGATGGTGCCCGAAGAACACCTGAGGTTGGCCTCTGGCCTCCACTGCATGAACATATATGTATGCGTATACAATTGACAACAGCATGCTAAACCATGCAGGCATCCTAATGTGAAGCTTAGGATGCTGAGAATATGAGTAGATGTGAGAATATGCAGCATTGGGAGACCAGAATCAACTGTGCCTGTCTAAAAACTTCAACTGCTCTTATTGCTATTAACTAGATTTTATAGTAACATCAAGCAGCAGATGCTACTGAGGCACGTGATCACAAAAAAAAAAAATGATCCAATACTAAGTACCTAAATGAGTAGCCTTTTAAAAACTGTATAGAGAACATTTCAGGAGGCTATTTTTCTAAATGGAAACAAACAAACAAAAAACAAGGGGTGTGTAGCTGGCTCAGCTGGTGAAGTGCCTGTCACAGAGGCATGAGAACCTGAGTTCAGGTCCACATGACCCACGTAAAAACTGGGCATGGTGGTGCTCATCTATGGTCGTAGCCACACATTCGGGCCACATCTGTTGCGGTCCAGCCTCGACGGGGTTTGCACATTCCAGGGTAGGGGTGTGTGGATTAGAAAAATCAGGTAGGAGGAGCAGAGAGGCAAAAGAAATGCAGAGACATAGGATAGAACCAGGAGGGCTATCTAGTGAATACTGAATCTGCCTGCATTTATTCCCCTATGTGCTTATACACCCCAATCCAAAGGGGGGAGGCAACAGACTGCTTTACCATGACACAAGGGACAAACAGAGCAATTACCTCTTCGATACCTGAAGCATCAAGCAACTATATCCTTCAGCTAGGCATTCTGTTTAGGCAGGACATGAAACGACCACACCTTAGACCAAGCATTTTTTAGGCAGTTACTCCCTGGGTCGAACCTCCTGTCATATCCTTGAAGGAGCAGGAATAGGCTTGAATTCTCTGACCTTCGGTCACGGTGGAGCGGACCCACTATAACCCAGCACTAGGATGCAGAGACAGGTGGACGCCTGGGGCTTTCTGGCCAGGCAGTCTAGGCAACTATGATTTCCAGAGTCAGTGAGAAACTCTGTCCCAAAAAATAAGGTAGAAAGCAGCTGAGGAAGGCACCTGACATCCTTTGGCCTCTACACATACACACACACACACACACACACACACGTTGAGACAGACAGAGAGACACACTCACACACCTATGTACAGACAGACAGACACATGCAATCTAGAAATGGAAATGGCGTGAACATTTTTTTATACACGGGGTGCGTTCTGTTTAAGGGTGTCATTTTGAGGGCATCGGTTTTGAAAACAGTGTGCTCGCTCTTTAGGTCACTATCACAGCACCGTGGACATGCCGGCAACCTAATTAGCACAACTGCAGTTGTTTACTAGATCGTGGCTATTAGCAAACTAGTTATCTTATCATAGTCTGAAGATTCAAAGGTAAGGGTGATTAGCTGAAAATGAAGCCAAGAGAAGGGGGGCAGAACCTAGTATGAAGCCCCGTCGCCCTCTGCTGCTTAGCTGGTGTGCAGCGGGAGGCAGGAGTTCACCTTAGCTGAGCTTCGGGCCTGGCCACCTCCTGCCCCAAGCTATCCAGGCCATTACCTTCTGGAACTAGATGGAGAAACCTCCAACCTCAAACCAGGTCTTCATACTAGGCCCGAGGAGTCTGGAAAAGTGCCCCCCCATGTCCCGCCCCCGAGCCCCCCCCCCCCCAACAGCTTCATTCCTCAGGCATCACTGCCTGCCATTTCCAACCTCCAGAGGGCGCTGTGTGTTCTGATCTGGAAGTGCAACCTGCCTCTCTGCACACAGAAACGTGAGGTTGCTCTGAAGGCACTCCTCGGGCCAAGGAGGACACACAGTTGAGGTGCCTTCTCTTTCCTGCCCTCAGGAAACCCTGTGGTGTCCCCTCAGGAAACAACTCTTCCACGTTTCTCTCCTGGGAGCCTGCAAAGGCACACAGGCAATCAGAGACAGTGCACATCAATTAAAAGCATGGTTTATTTTTCTATCAAATCCCCAATCCATGTCCAGCCAGTGGATCAAAGGTACATCAAGCCCTAAAATAGACCAGGGTGGGGGTTGGGACATAAAAACTTTGTCAGAAAAAAGGGGGCACCACTAAAACCTTTCTGCAAAGCCCCTGGGCATTAGGGAGCAGATGGAAATAAATGCAGCCACTAAGGGGCTCCTTGAAGGTCCTCTGGATGCCCCTCTTGCTGGTGCTTCTGTGTACATGAAGGCGGCATCCATACATTTACAGCTGCACCAACACCCTACCTTCATGTCACTCTGGTCTGAACAGCTAGAACCCTGGCTCATCCCAACTTATAAAGACTCAGTAACAGCCAAAAATATCTGTATTCAATTCTTCAAACTGTAATTGAGCGCCATTTGCTAGGCACGGACTAGGCACTGGGCAGTGATTTTGCTGATTCCAAGAGAAGCTCACGGTGCTGCTGCGAAGAGAGCTCTCCCCTAAGTGCGGAAGGATGCTTTCCGTGGGTTAAGAGAACCGCTCCCTCCGCTGACACCCTGCAGGATCAAGCTCGGACAGAGGCTGGGCTGTGAGGACAGATGTTAGCTTCCTTCTACAGGCACAGCCATAGAAGAGCCAACAGCAGGCTCTAAACAACCGTGGAATTCGCCCCGCAGTCCACATAGTGCTGTGTTTCCACGGCGCTCTGGGATGTGTGGCCAATGTATGAAATCTGCACAGAAGTCCTAGCAAGAAGAAAACCATGAAGAGACTGAATAAACAGGAAAAACTTCTTTTCTTCCAAGTCATCTGGGTCCCAGGCACTATCTCCATGGTTATATAACGAGGAGGCCAGCGGACCTACGTCCAAAAATGCTGTGTCACGAGGTCACTTTCCGGATCGGCAGCTATTAACCGGGGATGATTTTACCCCACGGAGCTTTTGGCAACATCTGGGTATCTCTGGGTAGTTACAGCTGAGTGAGGTGGAGGGGGTGAGCGCTCCCAGCAGCACATAGAGACAGGGATGTCACTGCTAAGCACCCATAGTCACTGATAACGAAGAACTCCCCGGCCCGAATGTCAACTGTGTCAAAGCTGAGAAACCTCACTTAAATCCCCGGATTTCAGATGTCTGTCACCGTTACATTTAACAGTCACAGTTTCAAGACTGGTAACTCTGTCACCAGAGACAAAACTGGTCAAATACTTAGTACTCACACTTTGAGAAAGCTGGTCTGTTCTTTACTCTCGAAAATTCTGACGGGACCACACACTTAGTTAAACCAGATCCCATTTCAGGCAACATTTCTTTTAATTTTTAAAAAAAATTTCTTATTTTATGTGTATAGGTGTTTTGCCTACATGTATGTCTGTGCACTACATGTATAGGCTAGAAGAACATATCGGGTCCCCTGAAACTGGAGATACAGACAGTTGTGAGCCGCCATGTGAACCTGGGAATCAAACCTGGATCCTCAGGAAGAGCAGCCAGAGCTCTTGGCAGCTGAGCCCTCTCTCCAGCGCCCAGCACATTATGTTTAACTATTGGTTAGGAACCTGGCAACCTGTGCGGGGATTCTGGACCCTACCTCCAGAGGACATCAGCGTCTGCTGGGTCTGTGCTGCGAGGCAGGTGATGGCTGTCTTAGCCACGTGCCTCTAGAGAGTGCTGGGAGCTCCCAGGAGGCTTGGTGACACCAAGCCAGCAGGAGAGAGGAAAGAGGACATACCTCATGAAGATCATGATGTTGTGCACCAGGATGGCAGGTACCGTGCAGAAGAAGCTGCAACCACACATATGGACACGGTCACTTGGCTGGAAACAGTCAATCAGGAGCAACACAATCTCCCAGGAGACCCAGCAGGACAGTGTGGAGTGACACTGTCAAACCATTTGGGGTACCTTCTCTTCCCTTAGGCTTCCCCTTCAAACCGAAGTACTGCCCAGGACCACTAGTTCTGAGACCTTCCAACTGTCACTCTCAATGTCCCAGATCGTGCTCTTTGTTTTCCGAAGCCATTGCGTATTTAAATGCTAGAACTGCTAATGTTTCTCTTTAGAAATCCCAGCCCTTCAGTCACACATCAACTGATTATCCCCTCCCCCAAGCTCTCCAGAAAGCCAGGAGGTCACAGGCCAAAACTGGGGCTTAAGGCAGAACCAGGGAAAGAGCCAACCAAGGACGAGTCCGCATCCCTCCAGGCAGAGAGCACAGTAGAGAACTCTGTCCTTACTACAAGTACGAAGATGGTCCTCCCACCTCGGCCTTCACTGTAAAATTCACCTGAAAATGAGACAAGGCCTGGCATCAGTCTGAGATAAGCAAGCTTGACATCACAGCATCACTGCTAGCGACCTACAGATGCTGGAGCATTCTTCACCACATCCAAAGCACCTTCCCTAGACAGGGAGCCCGAGGAAGTACTTCCGACCCCATCCCTTTCCAAACCTCTGGGCTTCAGGCTGTAATTCCACCTCTTCTTGACTTGGTAACTCTCTCTCTCTGTCATCAATTACCTTACTGCCCACGTACTTAAATGCTAGCTGTTTCTGTCTCTTTCCGATTGTTCATCATTCTAGATCCAACCAGGCCTTCCTCGGGTAGAAACGAGAGGAGAGGAAAAGGAGCCCAGCATTCTCACAGTGTTCCCACAGCACCTACTCTCCTCCACAGTATGTGAGCAGAGGCCCTTGAAGAACAACGTACCAGGTGCTCACTCTGAGGGGGAATGACCGAGATGTTCGTGGTCATGTATGTGCCAGCCACGGCTTTCATGTATTGAACCTGGCTGAACAGGTTGGTCACTGCCACGGAGTAGAAGTTGGAGTTTCTGATTTTCAGGGTGGCCTGGAAGGGGCAAGAGAGGAGATGAATGTTGAGCTTCCTGGTCTCGAGGCTGGCGAATGCACAGCCCAGGAAGTGAGGCCCGACGTCTTACCGTGACATCAAGCACTACCAGGGAGTCCTGCTTATTAAATGTGACCTTCACCACTTTGATGCCGTTATCATCCACGAGGACTGAATGTGGAAACAGGAAGAAGGAGACCAAGCCAGATGCCAGCAGACAGAGCAGGACAGACAGGAGGACATACTGTTTACTGTAAATGATAGCACAGGGCAACGTTGGACAGTCGGACATCAAACTCTAAACGGTCATAATTAATGCAAAACGGAGGGGGTGAAGAAGAAGCACAAAGAACCCAGAACCACTCACTAGGCGAGAAAGAAGGGTGCAGGAGAAGACTTTTAACCCATTTCAACACCATTTACTCTGAGACAAGGAACGGGTCCTTTGACACCCTGCTCCCCCGATTCCTTCCAATCCCCTCTTCCATTTGACCCTCAATGTATTTCTGAACTCACATTTATTTTCCCAGACTGTAACAGAGAAAGGGACATTTCACTTAAGCAAAAGCACCAAAGGAAATGGGGGGGGGCGCTAGGGTACGGTGCAGATGCTCGTCTAGTAAGTGAGTCTGGATTCAAGTCCCAGCATGACACGTGTGTGCGCGCACACACACACAAGTAGTAATAGTAAACAAGCAGATGATACAAGGACAGACGTCTTTTTCAAATAATTAGCTGGTAGCCTTTCCTAAAAAGAAGTCAGAGACAGAAAGAGGTGCTAGCAGACGAGAGCAGGTCAACTCACGTTCTCTGAGGACGCAGCCTCTGGTCACTGTGTGGGATCAGAGCCACCAACTCATTGAGTTGCTCTAGAAAGGCAGCAAAGACTCGTTCTGTAAAGCCCACATAGTGGAAGCCCTTCCTTCACATTTGCCTCAGACGGCCACAGCAAAGGCTCGTCTGGGACCCGACACTAAAAAGTACATTTTTGATGGCAGGAACAAGAAAATGATAAATGTAGAAATAAAAAAAAGGGAGAAAGAAAAGAATGTTGGGGAAAAATAAACATAAACCTATAGGTAACAGTACAAATTATAACACTTTAATCAGTGCTGTCAGGGCTGTGGCACTGATGTCGGGAAGCCTGTATCGTATTCTGATCTTACGTATGCTGTCTTTGGCAGTCACAGAATGTCTTAAACCGCCATTTCTTCACTTTTCATTTGGCTCTGGAGTACACGGCTTCCAAGGTTCTTAATAGCTCTAACTCTGGGACTCCCAACCCCTGGGTCAATTTAGTAACAGCTGTTCCTAGAGATAACCCAGGCTCCACTCCTGAGCCTGTCCTCTCTCCCCACCTCCTGGTATTCTGTTGACCTCAGGCTACTGAGCGACCCATGCCTTTTTTTGTAAAGAAGCTTCCAGGACTGTTCCTCCACAATGGTGTGCCACTCCTTATGAACAAGGGCAATAGAAAAACAGCCTTGTCAACAAACCCCACAGCAGAGAAGTAAATGTTTGAAACCAGAGAGGGGCCAGTGTTGATCTGTGTTAGGAACCTGGGAAGTTGCAGTGAGGCACTGCCTAGATTAGATCAGGTTGGCCAGCAGGCACGTCTGTGAGTGATTTTCTTAACGGGGTTACCGAAATCGGAAGGACCCTCCTTAAATGTGGGTGGCACCCCTTTCATAGGCTGGATCTTCCATTGGATGAAAAGGAAGAGGGAAACTGAGTACAAGTATCCCTTGTTCTTGGCTTCCTATGACTATAATGTGGCCGGCAATCTTAAATTCCGCTGTCCTGACTTCCCCTCCGTGATGGACTATGACCTGGAGCTGTGAAGCAGAAAAAACCCTTCCTCTTCTAAACTGCTCCGTTAGGGCATTTTATCACAGTTACCAGAAAAGAAACCAAGGAAGTAATTATACAGTAGAAGTTCCAAATATATGATCAAGAGAAGCCTGCAATCTGCCCAAGAGTATCAGGTCAGTCGGGCTGGCTGGCGACAATTCAGGGCAGTCTTGTGATTACAGAGGGGGGGCTGGCCGAAGCAGACACCAGGGCTCTCCAGGACAGTTGACACGTCTCACCTGCTGGGACGTAGCCCGCTCCTTGGCAGGTGTGACAGGTGACGCTATTTCTCCCAGTGAATTCCACATAGGGGAACTGAGCGATGGCTTCCTCCTGCTCTCTCTCAGCCTGCAAGTCCTCCGGATTGCCATCCTTCTTTCGTTGACAAAATGTACGGGCAGAAGAGGAATGCTGAGACCCCATGTGTCATTTCCTACATGGGAAGGGGGAGCAGTAAATGAGCGTGTGTTAGTGTCTATACCGGCCACTATAGGAAAAAAAAATCACTTCTATAAGAAATGTAAAATACTAACTGACAAGTTGCTATTCTAAGTGTGGCCTGTAATTTCTACTGCGGCCCTCATTTTGCAAGTGTCCGGTGCCGTCCACCCTCCTCCCCCGCAGGTAGCTAGGAACTGGGACCGGCCCTCACTGGATCAGGCCACCCCTCACTGCCTGGGAAACCCGGCTCCCCCGTGGTCCAGCGTCGCCGCCTTCCTCCCTGTTTGCAAACTCTGAAGGGCGAACAGGCTGCATTCCGGGTAAACAAACAACAGGCACCAAATTAATAAAAGGCCCCAGCGATCCCTCTCCTCCACTCCCAGCTGAGGAGGCAGGCTCAGGTCACGCCCCCCGTAAAAAGCCACGTTCTGAACGCGTTCACGTCTCCCGGGCCGGGGGAACGCGGGCGCCCCCGGACCTGAGGCGCACCAACTCCGGGCAGTTAGTGTCGCGACCACTCCTCCTGCCACCTGCCCGCTCCAGCAACTCTTCCGCGCGCCTCCTGGTGCGCAGGCGCACAATGGCAAAGCTGGTGGCAAGAGGACGCCGGCGAGCGCCTGCGCCTGCGCTCTGAACTCTGGTGCGCCCCCTCCTGCCGCGCAGCTGCAGTGCACCTAGCTGCTGGTAGAGAGCGGCAAAGAGCAGTGGAGTCGCTCGTGGGCGGGCGGGGGAGGGGCGATGCTCCTCTGCACCCGAGAAACGCTAGGGAAAGCTCGCTAGAGCTTCCGGATCCGAGCGCTTCTGTACGGGCGGAGGACGGCGTCTCCTGTGGCCAAAGCCATTCCCACAGCACAGGGACTCAGAGAGAAAGAAACCTAACACCCAGATCCTGCCCTAGGTTCCGTTCCGGTTCTGGCGAGGATCTCGATGCCTAAGAGCATATGCAGACCCATGGAAGCTTCCACCAGAGTCTTGCTAGCTAGTCGCGGGAATGAAGCCCAAAGCTCAGTATTGCAAGCTGGTCCGATTTCAGGACTACCATCCACAAAAAAAGGTGTGATGGACATAAAGGGTTCGAGAGAGCCTCCCAAAGCTAAAGTGCCATAGCAGTGAATGAAACAGGTGAAGAGGGCTAAAGATGAGGCAGGATTGCCACAAGTTCAAGACTAGCTTGCCACAGAGTTTGAGGCCACGCAGTAAAGTGAGACCCCTTTTAAACCAAAACATAGAAAGAAAGAGAAGACTTGTTTTGATATCCTAGAATTGGATGAATGAGAGACCCCGTCTCCCATACCTCCTTATGTCACTGCGGTAATTGTGGGTGGTTCCTGTAACTCTCTAGACCTTATCAGTTGACCACCGTTAGTATGAGCCTGTAGTGTGAAAACAACAGCCACCACCCCACTTCCACCTTTGGTCCTCAGCCATTCTCTGAAATGTCTTTACACAGCTCTTTCTTTGAAATTTTGATGCCACTGTATGTTTCTTACTTCAGTAAGTCTGATGATATTAGGAGAAATGAACACTCACACTGCTCAGTTCCCATTTGCGGTTGGCTGATCGTGTATTGCTGTTCTGGCCAATAAGGGGTAAGAGTGTAGAATTTAGGAGACACCCTTAAAGGAGGTGGAGACTCAAGGGATCCTCTGACAGTTCCTACTTGCACTTGGAGCTTGATATTAGACATTAGAGCAGCTGTATTGTGACCATGAGGCCGTGAGGAGTGTCAGGAGGATAAAAGAAGTCTAGTCCCTGAAAGAAGACCTGGCTACTGGGGTCTTCATGTCTTCACAGTGGGACACAATCCTAACAAATGCAGAAAGTCTGCAAATAAAGAGCAAAGTCTTGGTTTGTTCGGATGGCTGGTTTTGGTTTTCAGGTTTTTTGTTTGTTTGTTTTGTTCTATTCTGTTTTGTTTGCTGTTTTGTTTTTCCAGACAGGATTTCTCTTGTACCTCTGGCTGTCCTGGAACTTGCTCTGTAGACCAGACTGGCCTCAAACTCAGAGATCCTCCTGCCTCTGCCTCCCTAGTGCTGGGGTTAAAGGTATGTGCCACCATACCCAGCCAAAGACTGGGTAGGTACAGACTGCCTTAGCCACACAGTGTAGGCCACATAGTTCCTAAGCTCTGCCAGCTTCCGCTCTTAAAACACCTTCTTCAAGAGAGAGGAATCCAGACCTGCCTGGCCTAGGCTTTCCTACGTGAAGAGACTCTGGTAAGTAATTCACTATAGAATAACCCTGTTCTCTACCAAGAGATCAAATGGTACCTCTAAGAAGCCCATCCTCATAATGGTGTCCCCATGTGTAGCCTCTACTAGACACCCTGCTGATGCTAAGTTGCAAATAAACCTGACGTTCACACCATGGACCGGCATTATGGTGAGAACAGGGCGAAGCAGACGGTAGCAACTGGACCTGCCAGCTAGAGAGGAAGAAGAACCTAGAACACTGAGACCCAGGGCTGCTCCACAATGGGGGAGAAAGGCTGAGAACACAAAACCTATGGTCAGGAAGAGGCGGGGCTTGGATTAGTGGGCAAGAAAGGTAGCTTGGGGAATCACCAGTAGAACCCTGAGGCTCTTTGACGGTCTGCTAATAAAAGTGTGGCTTGAGCAGACAGACCACACACCTGGGTCAATGGTAACTCACACCTGGAATCCAGGTGTGCAGGAGGCCCTCAGTAAATCCTTGCACAACTACCCAGCCTGGAGGCTGGCCAGCGTGGCCTGAGGGAGTAGACCCTGTATCTTCTTGAGCCCTCTGTGGAAGTCTTAATTGGCCAGCACATTCCTGAGGAGACAGCCATCGCTTCTCACCTGTGTCTAGCTTCCAGATTTGTCTCACCATCCGATACATCGGAGAGCTGTAGACATGAGCTCACTGGGACTCTCAGGGGGCCAGGGCTGAATGGGACCGCCCGAGCATCTCTGAGCTCCCAGCCTTCCCAGTTTCTCCACAACCATGATGGGACCTAGCCCTACAGACTGAGGATAGCAAGAGTCCATAATTCTGCTCTTTCTGGAAGCCCTAGAAGAGGGAGGGCGCAGCTCTGACCCCCCCTTCCACCTCCCCCACTTCCACTACTCAAGCAAGATGCTGCAGAGTTCTGAGCTGTTAATGTTCCCCTGCACTGATGGAAGCTAAGGACTTTCACTCAGAAGCATCCTTCAGGGTACTTCATTCTGCCCCTCTTGTTTAATCCATAGATGGGAAACCTGTGGAAGATTAAATGACAGTCAGAGAAAACAATAGGCCCGCTGCTTCCTCGCCGGTGGCCTTTACTGAGGGGCCTGCCTACTTGGCAGCCTTAGTGTCTCTGCTGAAGCCACTGTGGCACACACAAACTGAAGGGGCACACAACTCCTTTGAAATTGTTTGTGCTGTCATTTTTCTCACATGAACCTGAACTCTCTGAGGCCTGGGCTCATGTGTCTCCATAGTAAAGGCCAAGGGCAGTTCTTTAAGGCAAGGGAGGGAGAGAGAGAGTGCATGAAGAAAAGAGAGAATCTTTTGTATTTAAGAAACTCTGCAGCCTTAGACATGGAGTGGGAAGCAACTGGGGAACAGGGAAGCTGACAGCCCCAGCTGCGGTGGTAGGAATGGAAGGAACGCTGTCAAGGAACTGATAACACATCCAAGCCCCCACCTAAGCCAAGCTCTGTTAGTCTGCCGCCGGGTTCGCCGGGTTCCGGGATCGCCGGGTTCCACAGCCTCTAGAGAGCTCTCGCAGAGCTACCATCAACACTAAGAAGGAGGCCCCACTTGCAAATGCCGTCACAGATCTAGCTCAGGGGTGTCCCATGAGTATCCTAGCTGCAAGGGGTGTTAGAAATCCCTCCCCAACCTTGGGAACCCAGCCGAAATCGTATTTAACTAGAAGTCCAATTTAGAACCACCCCCAAGTGTAGCCTGGGGTTTAAAACTCCTTGATTGTTTGAGGTCAACTCTCCTTTCTCAAGGTCACTCAAATTCTGAGTCTTTTTTTTTTTAGACCCCAGGAGGCAGGCCACCGAAAGACCCCTCTTGTTTAGCCTGGGGCACTTGAGCTTTCTGTCCAGGGTTGCTGTTGTGATATCTGGTCAGTCCGCGTTGGATCGTGGCCCTCTAGGAACTCTAGCTCTGTGGCATCCTGTTAGTCAGCCAGGCTGTGTGTCTTTAAGGCCTGGGATGATGGCCCTTGAATCTCCTGAAGAGTGTGGCAAAGAACAGAAATGAATAAATCAGTGCGCGCGCGCGCGTGTGTGTGTGTGTGTGTGTGTGTGTGCATGTGTGTGCGTGTAAGAGAGAGAATCTTGAAACATGGACAGTGTCACGCTTACACACAGCATCCCCGTCGCATTTGTGTTCTTGGAAGTCACTGAACAGGAAGTGAATCAAGGTAACTGAATGGTCGTAAGAAGAGATGGGACTGAGGGCTGAAGGGAGTCCTGGAAGATTAGACTCAAGACGGCAGAGAAGAGGAGGACCCGTCGTTCCTTGTTCCTTCCATCAGGGGGCGCAGGAGGCTAGCAGACTGCATCTTGAGACTCTCCCACAAAATCCTCAAGAGTACCCCTCCACAGAAAGGAAGCAGCGTAGTCAGAGAGAGGAAGCACACAACACAGACTTGCCTGCAGCTGCAGGTTGCAGGCTGGCTTCGTCTGTCTGGCACAGTGGGGTAGGAAGGGATTTTGGTGCTGCTGGCAAGTCTACCTTGAAACAGGTTGATTCTTGCAGCTGGAGGCTACTGCTGGGGTCTAGTCAATCCAGAACTGGAAAACGGCTCGAATTCCTTTACCCATGATGTCATGAGCCATGGGGAGGTTATTTGCACAGAGTCCTGGACGTGAGCGATTCTGTAAATCCACCCCTACCACTTAGACCTTCTACCTTGAACTAGTCAAGACCAACTCTGTCTGCCAGGGGCCTGAGAGCTCTGGCTTTCATACTGAGAACCAGCCTTAGGTTAGGCCCTGGGACACAGTGAGGAACACGACACATCCGGGCACTTCACTCAAAAGGCAACAGACGTGCCTGGCAGTGATGACAGACACCTTTAATCCCTGCATTCAGGCAGAGGCAGGTGGATCTCTGTGAGTTCAAGGCCAGCCTGGTCTACAGAGCTAGTTCCAGGACAGCTACACAGAGTACAGTTACACAGAGAAACCCTGTCTCAAAAAAACCAAAACAAAACCCCCCAAAACCAAATAGGACTGGCTCCATAGCTACTGGAAAACCCTGTCTGGAAAACAAAGCAAAAACAACAAAAAGGCAGCAGACAGAACTCTGCCAGTATCAAAAGTGCAGGCTCCCAAGCCTGGAGACCTAGATGTGAGTGCTGGCCCAGCAAGCCATCAGCTGCATGACCCTCACTGTCCTTAACCCTTTCCATACCTTGATATCCTCTTGGGGACAATGGTTGAAACCATAAAAAATTAATCCACAAAAGCTTTTAGAGCAGTGCCTGCCCCTCAGTAGGCATGAAAGAAAAGCCAACTATTTTCACTCCGTTAATTGTCCACCAACAGGTCCATAGAAACTCACATCTAAGGCACCCACAAAGTCAGCCAGGCTAGCATCCTGACAGTTCTGCCACAATTTTGGGGTTAGTCTTGGGTATCCATCAGGTAGAGCACTTGCGACTGGCTCCCAGGTGTCTCAGGACACGGCCCATCCAGAGTTCCTGGAGGTTTCAGATCTAAAAGGGTATGTGTGCAGAGGTTCTAGAGATCCCACGGGGGACAGAAGAGGACTACTTGTGTGTGTGTGGGTGTGGACTCTAGCTCCTGGCCCAGTACACTCTCTTCTGAGTCCTGAGGTTTAGAGCTGTATGGCTATCCTGCTGGCCCAACCATCCCAAACAAGACAAGAAAAGGCCAGGACACCAGGGAAAGGGGGTACAAATCCCAGGGGCTGCACTGCCATGACTGGGCTCCACTCACCTGGGCATCTTCCTCGGACCGGCATCCTTTATGGGCCCTGGGGCGTTGTGAGGATGGCGTTCCTAGTGATGGACACCATACATTGGAAGATGCCCTTTGGGTCCTGTCTCCGCTTCATCTCTTTAAATCTGCCTGTGGGTAGAGCTCAGAAGACTTGCTGTGTGGCCAGATGCAGCTGTTACTTTCTCCACGAAGACCTAGGGAAAGATGCTGACCCTTATTGTGGAATATTATTTTAATAGGGCAAAGATGTGTTAAATTTGTTTATGCTGCAGAATATGGCTTTAACTATGTAAAGACGTGTTATTTTTGTTTATGCTGCAATTGTTTAATGACGCAGGGATGTGTGTTTAATTATGTAAAATGTCTTGCATTTGTTTCACCTTGCCTGCCTAAGGCAGCTGATTGGTCTAATAAAGAGCTGACTGGCCAATAGCTAGGCAGAAGAAAGGATAGGCAAGACTGGTAGGCAGAGAGAATAAATAGAAGGAGAAATCTAGGGTTGGAAGGAAGAGCAAGAGGAGGAGAGAATGAGAGACTTACCCAGTGCAAGAAGTCAGGTAGTCACCAGCCAGCCATAAGGAAGCGGTGGGAGATATACAGAAGAAAGGCAAAGAGCCCAGAGGCAGAAGATAGATAAAGAGAAACAGGCTAATTTAAGTTAAAAACAACTAGCCAGAAACGAGCCTAAGCTAGGCAGAACACTCAAAACTAATAAGAAGTCTCCATGTCAAGCCAGGTGGTGGTGGCGCACGGCTTTAATCCCAGCACTCAGGAGGCGGAGGCAGGTGGATCTCTGTGAGTTCAAAACAAACCTGGTCTACAAGAACTAGTTCTAGGACAGGCTCCAAAGCTACAGAGAAACCCTGTTTCGGAAAACAAAAACAAACAAACAAACAAACAAAAAAAGAGGTGTTCATGTCATGAACTGGGAGCTGGTTGACGGCCCAAAAGAAAGTCTGGTACAGACCTTCCCTGGGGATCTTTCACTCCGAGATCTCAGGGCTGCTTGTACAGCAGGCCCTCCACATGCTCAGGGGTGGTGTCTGGATTGCAGGCATCCAAACCCGAGGATGCTCGTGTCCTAAAGGTAAAATGTAAAATGGTATGGTTATTGCATATAGCCCATGGGTATCCTATGCATACTTGTAACTATCTCTAGACTGTTCATAATATATAGTGCAATATAAGTTAATTGTTATACTGTATTACTTGGGGAAATAATAACAAGAACTTTGTTTCAGATGTGGTTGATCCTCAAGTCCAGTGGGTTTGAGGATCCAACCAGCCATAGCTAAGGTTTTGCTATTTCCTTGTATGTGTCAGTGTCCAAGCACATGAGTAGGTGTGAACTCTGAGTGACAGAGGTCAACAGAGGTCAATATTGGTATCCTTCTCCACCATACTGTATTTATTTCTAAGGATAGAGACTTCATTGACCCTGTAGCTCACTGATTGGCTGGATTGGCTGGCCAGTGAGCTCCGAGGATTTGCCTGTCTCTACCACACTAGGACTTAAAATGAACCATTATATTTAGAAATGCTTAGGCCAAGGTCCCCTGGGCTGTGAACACACCCGAATGCAAGCTGTCATCGAAGAGTCTGCTGCTAAGCCCTAACCTCTTGTCATGTCCATTACTCCTTTATGAAGCCAGCTGTGTCCTCTGCAGCCTGGTACAGGGCCTGTCGCCTGGCGTCTCTGCTGCCTGTTTGTGGACCTGGAGGTGGGTCTTTTGCCCTCTCTGGCTTGGGTACCACCTGCCCAGCCCTGCAGAAGGCCTGTCTCCAAGGGAGAGGCCCTTCTTCCCACAGCCAGCTAAAACCCAGGCAACTTGCCTTGCCAGCTCCCACGTTCCAGACTAACTTTGGGGTTTGTTTCCAGCTGCGGTTAGATTTTTCTATTTGAGAAATATTTTAAGCAGCTGGTGGGGAAGGGAATCATAAATGAGCATGTGAAAGGAAGGTTGTCTGCATGGCTCGAGCTTGGTCCCTGGTGGTGATAGAGGGGACACTGGTGACTTCCCAGGACGGGAGAAAGACTCTGGGCCCTAGGCAAGCACTTTGTGGGGTTGCTTGTGAAACGAAGTGCTTGCACTTGGAGTATGTGAGGGAAAAGGTAGACGAGACTGAGGTTAGACACCGGGGAGAACTGATTGTCAGAATCTAGGCCTCAAACCGCAGGCATTTACCCAAGACCCTGTCTTTCCCCAGAACGCAACTTCCTTGTCTACTCTCATTCTGTAAGGCCTCGGGCAACCCCCACCTGGCCCAGTGGCTCTTCATGCAGCTAACAGCGTAAAACTTCCCCTCAGCTTCCCCTGCTTTCTATCCTCCTCCCTCAGGTTTATCGGCTTCCTCTTCCCTCTTTACCTTGCTCTTCATCGCAGCGCTGGACTTTGGGGTTGTCTGAGGAAACCTTCTCCTCAGTAACTTTCTAAGGGACAGACTTAATGAACCGACAGGGACACAGGCCAAGGGCCTGGATCAGAATCCCTGGCCACCCCACAGGAGGATGGCTGGGATGGTTGGTGGACACAGAGCTCTACAGAAAAACTCGGGATGGGAGAGAAACCAAATCACATAGTCAAACAGAAGCAGAGTCAGGGAGAGACAGAGCGGGGAGGGAGAGGACAGTCACCAAGCAGGCCCTGGCTGGCCCACATGGACATTCCTGTGGCCTCTGATGGCAGGGTGGGCTCAGCTCTGAGGGCTCCTTGGTGCCAGTGTGGGGGGCCCAGCATGGGGTCTCTGGCCAGGGTGGCAGGAGGGCCTGCCCTCCACATTTTGAGTCTTCTAGGGACAGCCTCCCTTGGCTGGAGAAACCCTGTTGGCTAGGGTGGAGAAAGTGGGTGTGGACCTTGTACAACCAAACTTTAGTAGCCTTGAGACGCTGTGAGTCTTGAGTTCTTCACAGTCTAGGGCAACCTAATATGGGGAAGCTGGAGATCTTCATCTGAGGACCCCTGGCAAAAAGAGGGGAGGCCAGTGCAGTAAGAAGTGGACAGACAGATCAGGGGCAGCTGACCCCGAGGACAGAGCGGGGGCTATTGGAAGATCTGGGGTGGTGGTCGGGCAGTGGGCAGCAGGACAAGCTCAACCAGCCAGTCAGGGTGGAAGAGGGATGCCCAGCAGTCTGCCCTGGGGACTAGCCCTGGGGAAAGTGGCACAAATTTGAGCAGATTGACAACCTTCTTAGTCTCTCCCCACGTGCTCTATAGCCCTTAAGCCCCACTACCTTGCTGGACAACACCCAGCAAGGAAAACAACAGCCTTTGAATTTGAAACAGTTTCACTCAGCGGACCCTTGGCACTCAGCTAATTCAGGCTACAACCCTGCGACTCTCCACCCTGGGAAGCTGGGCAAAAATCAAGCATCCTAGAGACTCCCGAGGGAACAAACAAGGGACTGTTTGCTTCCTGATACTATTTTGCACTTAGACTTCACGTGTGAAGTTTCCAAAGAAAGTGCGTTTTCTTGTTCACCGTGAAAGCCGAGCACGTGTGTATGAAATATACATGTACAGTCTGAAAAGCATCACAAATGAAACACCTGTGCTCTACCACCCAGGTTGAGAACAACCATTACCTCATCCACGAAGTCCTTGTCTCCGTTCCTCTTATCCCATAGGCACACTCTGACTGGAGATTGTCATTTCCTTGTTTATCCTTCAAAACATTTATTAGAGTTTCTTAGATATTGTCATCTTTGGGTTTCACAATGGCCTTATTATGCCCATCTTATAGATGAGGAAACTGAGGCTTAAAATAAGGCCAACCAACAAGTAAGTGGCAGGAGAGAGTCATAGTTAGCATTGGCTGGTGTCCTAGGACACCTGGTCTGTCAAACAAATGTCTATAGTTAGCTCCAGGGCAGGCTGGGCTCCAGACACAGTTACCCTTAGCCCACCCCAAACTGTCATCTCTCCTGCTTGGTGAGCACCTAGTCAGAAAGGGTGGAGGCCTAGGGAAGAGACAATGGAGGCTAGGAAACAAGAGAAGTTGGGCTTGATCAGGAATTGGTACCTGAGCGTGGTTGGGTGTAGGCTGAAACAGCTAAGAAAGTCCAGGGCTGTGTGTGTGCACTGGGTGCCCGGGGCTGTGGGTGTGCACTGGGTGCCCGGGGCTGTGAGTGTGCACTGAGCACCCAGGGCTGTGGGTGTGCACTGAGCACCCAGGACTGTGGGTGTGCACTGAGCGCCCAGAGCTATGAGTGTGCACTGACCACTCAGGGTTGTGTGTGTGCACTGATCACCCCCGCCCCCGGGGCTGTGTGTGTGTGCACTGAGCGCCCAGGGCTGATAAAAGATTCAAGTATAAAATCCTCTCTTTGGGCTGGAGAGATGGCTCAGTGCTTAAGAGCATTGCCTGCTCTTCCAAAGGTCCTGAGTTCAATTCCCAGCAACCACATGGTGGCTCACAACCATCTGTAATGAAGTCTGGTGCCCTCTTCTGGCCTGCAGACATACACACAGACAGAATATTGTATACATAATAAATAAATATTAGAAAAAAAATCCTCTCTTCTATTCTGAATCCGCATCTCCGCTACAAGACTTTACCATTTATCTTTCTGTATTTCTTCCTCTGCTATTTAGAGCTATAGTTACATTGCTTGGGAACATATAACCAAATGTAGTAGAATTAGGGTTATTTATTTGTGTGGTGTGGTGTGGTGTGGTGTGGTGTGGTGTGTGTGTGTGTGTGTGAGAGAGAGAGAGAGAGAGAGAGAGAGAGAGAGAGAGAGATTCTCTGTGTAGCCATGGCTGTCCTGGAACTTACTCCGCAGATGAGGCCTTGAACTCAAAGAGATTCCCCTGCCTCTGCCTCCCGGGGACTGGAATTAAAGGCCTGCGCCACCACACCGACTCAGTGTGTTCTTCTGTTGGTTAGACCTTGTTGACAAAAGGGTTTGTCTCACTCTGAAGAGTGCCACTAATGGACGTGGCACCATGTGCTTTTGGCAGGGAGGGTACACCTCCCCGTGCCTGAGAGAGGACCAATAGATTGACTTCAGAGTGTGAACCGCACCCCAGAAGCAGTCCTGTGCTAGCTGCCCTTTGACCTCTTACAGAGTCCAGTTCTGCCTTTCTTAATATTCTTACAACTCCACCTACCCAAAGATGCCTCCTCCCCTTGTCCTGGGTCTTCTCTTCTCTTCCTTCTCCCCTCTTGATTCTTGACCTCTGCACCCTACTGCCTGTAGGGGTCTTCTGGGCAGGCTCCCTGGCCCCTGCACATGACTTCAAAGAGACAGAAGGAATTGGGGCTGAGTGACCTTGAAATAGGAAAATCCATTCAGAAGTCTAGGGCACACACTTCCTTCCAGGTCGTCTTGGGGCAGGCAGGCATGGCCATGTGCACATGACAGTTTCCTGTTTCCCAGAAGGCACTGGGGGTGGGGACCGTGCCAGGTAGGCATGGTGTCCCCGCCCCTGTGCCAATGTCATGGAAAATCTGAAGCCTTGATCTTTGTTCTTGATTGTTCTCTCCGGTTTTTATAGCTGGAAACTTTCTCGGCATCTTTGTTCCCATCGGCTTGGGAGGGAGGAGTGAAGGGGGAAGGAGGGAGGGAGGAGGCTGAATGGGCAGCTGGTGTAGGAACTTAGTACTTCCTTGGACCAGCATGACCCCTTCTCTCTCACACATCCACAACTCATACAGTTCGCCTACCAACAGCCTGCCTTTCCGTGCCAGAGGCCCTGGGAGCAGGGATGGGTACTGTACGGTCCTGGCTGCCCTTCCTAGGCAAGCCAGCTTCTCGTGCCCTGGGTTGACCCCTTGTTACCAGGGCTGCCGCCTATCCCTCTAACACCTGGTTACAATAGGTTCCCAGCCCTTCTCCTCCTTCTGGGCAGTTCTGGCTTCTGTTGACTACAGGATTTAATTTCGAGTTTATGGCTAAGAAGCTGCTTTGTGAGGGCGCTCATTCCCTCTGCCTCTCACCGGTTTGCTCCTTCATGCTCCACTTTGATGGAAACTTCTTGGGTCAGTAGCTCTCACCTTTCTTCCCTCCTTCAGGCTGGTACCTCCTTTCCCTCACAACCCTGTCCAGAAGACATAAATGCAGCCGGGACTGAACCCAGAACAGGGCCTGCTCTGGATCCTGGCATGACCTGGAGAGACTTGCTGAAGTAGAGCCTCTGGTCCCTGCCGTCTCTACTACTTCAGAGGCTGAAGCAAGGGCACCACAGGCTTCAAGGCCAGCCAGAGCTGTCGAGCTAGATCAAGGGTATCCTGGGACCTCAGGGAGACGTTGTGTTGTCTTGGAATATAAAGTAAAAAAAAAAAGACTAAGTGGTAGAGAGTACTTGCCAAGCAGAGATGTTAGGTTCAATTCCTATCCACACCTCCACACCACACGCACAATTAGCAATGTTCAGTCGATGACTCAAACTCTTAAGTTTTGTGAGAAAACTGAACTCAGGCTGGTGAGAGAGCTCACTGGTTAAAAGTGCTTACTGCCAAGGCTGACAGCCAGAGGTTGATTCCCAGAACCTTCCTGGTAGAGGCAGAGAGAAGTCACTTCCTGCAAACTGCCCTCCGACCTTCACGTGTGGGCTGTGTCATGCTTACATGCAATGATAATAGGATAAGGTATATTTAAACAAAATTCTAAAAACTGACATTTCAGGGCGGAGGGGCCTGCACTGTAGAGTGTGGGGTGTGCATGTTGAGGTCGGTGCACTTCAAGCCTTCAAGCCTTGGGAGAGACGTTAGAGGAGCTGGAGTGGCCAGGGCCTACTGGGCAGGCTGGGAGTGAGGGGGACTGCCTGGTGGGTGTGGTCAGAATTGAAAGGGACGTGGGGTACAGGAGTTGGGAAGTTGCTTCTGGATCTTGGTGTATAGGCCTACTCTGTCTCTCTCAGGCTAGCTGGGGCCTGGCCCCATTCTGCCACCTGCCTGTCTGTGTGTTGTGGGCTTGGCTGCAGTTTAGAGCAAGCACTAGCTAGGCCACTGATGGTTTTCCATCAAGGTGGGATCATATCCAGAGCTCCGACACTGAACACTTGAGGACAGTGACAAGTGTCCCTCGTCCCTGTACCTCACCGCATCAGCCTGTTGTAGGGCCTCCAATAAGCCCACACTGATATGAACTACACTCAACAGAAGGTCATGGAGAAGGTAGTGTCTGGCAGCTTCCTCTGTGACCTTACAAGGACAGGGACTTCAGTTCCCAGCCCCAGGACCAAGCTCCCTGCTCCATACCTAGGTCTGTGGCTCTGAGTGCCGGCTTGCCAGTGGCAATGCTTTGTACCTTCTGGGAATCATTGCTGTTGTCTAGTGGGTGAGTGAGACTGAGAAACTCCCTGCTTGGCCCTGCAGACCAGGCCTCCACCCCCACCTCCCATCTACCTCTCTCCCCAAGCAGGATAGATTATTTTCCTTACTGCAGATCCTGCCGATGCCTTGCCCTCTTCTCCAGAAGTTACTCAGTTACAGTGCCGGTTTTCTATTTCCAGAGCAAAGGCAGGTTCCTCCTCCACACACCCTCCTGGTGCTTCCCCTCCATTCAGTCTGGGGAGGGGCAGGACCAAAGGCTGGGACCTAGTCCAGGTCCAAGGTGAGCAGGGCATGCAGGGGAGAGGGTCAACTCCATTCTCCTTTATGTCACCACGATCCTGCTGCCTCCCAGCCATCTTTAGCAGCATGCAGCAAGCTCTACCCTTTGTCTTAAAAGTCACCCCTTCCAAGGCCTGGACCAGCCCTGTCTGCATTGCCCTGGACATTCACTGCTGTCTCCTGATGAAGGAGAGTGTCCTTGCTGCTTTTTGTTTTGTTTTTTTTTTCTCAGCCATCTTTCCCCAGACCCCGTGCTGGATTCTGTTCCCAGAAACAACTCTGCCTCACTTAACCCTCCTCCCCCATCCTGAGGTACCTCCTCCCCAGCTCCAAGCTATCCTCCCTTCTGAGGTCCCTCGTCCCCTGGCTCTCAGCTTAAACATGGCACTCTGAGGATGTGTCCATCCCACGAGAAGTGAGGGAAGAGAAACAGGTCATCTTCATTGTCAGTTTGACTGGAGTTTAAATCATCTGGGAGAGACACCTCAGCCTGTGTCTGTGAGGATGCTTCCAGAGGGATTTAACTGAATGGGAGGACCCAACCTGCCTGTGAACGGTACCATCCCATGGGCTGGGGTCCTGGACTGAATTAAAAGGAGAAAGCCAGCTGAGCATTAGGGTTCATTCCCCTCCACCTCTCTCTCTGCTTCCCGACTGGAGGAAGACATGGGGATCAGCTACCTCCCACTCCTCACCTTCCCCTCCACACTGGACTCTCACCCCGAACTGTGGGGCAAAATAAATGCATCCTTCCCTAAACCATTCCTTACAGGTATCTGGTCACAGCAAAAGGAACTAACACAAGCACACTCTGAGAGACATAGACCTGGGTATGGAGCAGGGAGCTTGATCCTGGGGCTGGGAACTAAGGTCCCTGTCCTTGTAAGGTCACAGAGGAAGCTGCCAGACGTCACCTTCCCATGGTCTTCTAATAAGGGTAGTTCATTTCAGCACAGGCTTATTGGAGGCTCTACTACAGGGTGATGCTACTGTACTGGTACAGAGATGAGTGACACTTTTCACTGTCCTCAAGTGTTCAGTGTTGGAGCTCTGGACATGACCCCATTACTGACTCCATGGCCCCCAGACACAAAGTTGGGTACCTCCTATGACTTAATCTCTATTAGCCCCAGAACAACCCTATGATAGAAATTATAACCAACTTTCCCTAAAGGAGGAAATGGATGCACAGGTGAGCTGTAACTTAGCAATGGTTGCCTAGGTAGTTAGCAGAACAGCTGGGATGGCGAGCTCTTTCTGTTCCTAGGCTCACAACTGTCACTTTCTGGTGGGGACAGAGGGGCCAAATGGGGGAAAGATTGTAGTCACATCTGGCAGAGCTCCACAGACATTTGGTAGGTGAGGGCATCAGCACACATGTGACATAAACATTTTCTGTGGTGACTTCTGTTCCGGGAGGTGTCAGCCTTGGAGGGAGATGGGACTGGTGAAATGGCAGCCGTGGCCTAGCAGCTCTCCACCCTAAGGGCTCTGTCCTTCTGCCTCCTGGGCTACAACTGGCTGCAGTCTCTTTTCCCTGTCAATCTCTGGAGTCATCCTCAACTTCTTCCCACTCCAAGAAGGCCAGGTCCCTCTTCTGTTGCCTGCACCCTCAGGGGAGGCACGTGGTTCTTCTTCAACCCTCCCTAGGGTCTCCCACGCTGAAGTATAAAAGCTCCATCAGGTTTTGTGTTCCCACCCCTTAGGGACATTTGTAGCAAGGTGCTACGGCCTAAATCCTGGAGAACCAAGATGACTTTTCTTTTTTCTGTTCATTGGTTTTTTTTTTGTTTGTTTGTTTTTTGTTTTTTTTGTTTTTTTTTTTTTTTTTTTTTTTGAGACAGAGTTACTCTGTGTAACAGCTCTGGCAGTCCTGGAACTTGCTCCATAGACCAGGCTGGCCTTGAATTCACAGAGATCCACCTGCCTCTGCCTCCCAAGTCTTGGGATTAAAGGTGTGTGCCACCACACCTGGCTTCCGTACATATACTTTCATCCATGCTTACACATGTATTCCCACATACTACAATAACATACTGTCCATCTATCCTGTAACTGAAGACATTGGGCTATTGCTTGGTGTGATAGCTAACTGATTATCAGTCTGGCTGGATCTTAAATAAACTGAAACAGAAGTTTCTGGGCACTGGTGACAGCCCAGATAAAAGGACTCTGAAGAAAGAAACTTTTGCTTTCTTTCTGCTTTCCCTCACTCTTGTAGTCAAGGTCTTCTGTCCTGCTGGGGCAGCATCCTTCACTGATATCAGAACCAGCTTCCGAGCTCCCAACACAGACTGAAGAACAGCCCCTCTCCAGAAGCCCTCTAGATCTTCAGCGCCAAAGTGGGACTGCTCAGATATTCAACTGTGCAGCTCCTGGATTCTCAGCCTTCCCAGTGTGAGACAGCCATTGCTGGATTACCTGGACAGTATTGTAAAAGTCGGTCTAATAAATCTCCTTCAACACACACAGTCTTAGTGTTCTGTTGCATGAGCGGACACCGTGCCCATGGCAACTCTTTAAAGAAAACATCAAACTGCAGGTTGCTTAAAGTTTTAAGTTTAGTCCATTATCAGCATGGCAGGGAGCATGCAGCACACAGGCAGACACAATGCTAGGAAAGTACCTGAGAGGTCCACATCTGGATCCACAGGCAATGGGATGAGAGAGGAACACCGGACCTGGTTTGAGCCCTTGAAACTTCAAAGCTACCCTCCCCCTCCAGTGACACACTTCCTGCAACAAGGCCACACCCACTCCAATAAGGCCACACCTCCTAGTCCTTTCA